CCGTCTCCCAGCTCTGAGAGGACTGATGCCCCTTGTGAATTTTTCACTCCCTACTGTCTACCTTCTCCTTGCACTGGCTAGTCTCCTCCCGTTCAGACCTGCCACGGGCCTGTGCTGAGCATCTGCTGTGTCTTCTCTGACCTGAACTTGAATACTCCCCACCCTTCCTTGTCCATCCCCAAGACTCACTGGTATATAGTTACTGTTTTATGGTACCTCTGACATTCTTTCGTTTGGTATTTCAATATTCTTCTGTACTATCATCCTCTCTCTGCCACCCCCCACCCCCCTCCCATGGCCTCGACTGTCTCTTGTTTCTCTTTCTGGTGATGACATTAAAAAGAAATGAGGTGCTTTCACAATCAAGGTACCACTACTCTTAGAAATTATGCAGCCACTATAAAATCTCTCAAAAAATAATTAATGATATGGAAAAGGCTTCTGACATTAAATATCACATCATTTGTATTTATGTAACGTCTAATATGCATTTTCATAGGTAGGATTGATTTAGTCCTTCTACAATTGACCAAGGGAGATAAGGACTTTAAATACATATACCTTGTACAGATATGAATTGATAGAAACCCTGCGCACAGAGGGAGAGAGAGAGAGAAAACAGACTAGACGAAAATGCATCAAAATGTTAGTAATGATCATTGTGGGTGGTAAGATTGCAAGTATTCTATTTTCTACTTTCAACTTGTAATTTCCAAATTTTCAATAAATAATTTGCTATAACCGAAACCAAATATTATAAAAATCACCTAGTCTAGTCTCCTAATTATTGGACAGAAAAAGGCATGTGTGCAGTCAGCACCCCTGTCTTGGCTGAGGTGAACATGCCATAAAGCACTGCCAGGGTGACCACAAGGGAGACACAGGCACTTGAGCAGCTGGGCCCAGCCCTGCTCTCCCTCTTGTAAACTGGGCTGAAACTTTCTGGCAGTGACTCTGCTTTAACTAAATGGAGAAAAACCACAAGCTTTTGCGCTAGGATCAGAAACAAGGCAAGGGTGCCCATACCTCCACTTCTATTCAATATCATATTCCAGGCATTAGCCAATGCTATTACATGAGAGAAAACAACAAGAGGAGTGATCATTGGAAAATAAGAAGTAAAAGTATCTTTATTTGCAGATGCCATGACTGCATAACTGGAAAACCCTAGAGAACCAATTAGGAAACTAATTCAAATAATAAAATAAAATAATTCCATTATGCAGCAGGATATAAAATTAACAGACAGAAGTCAAATGTCTCCATTCACACAAATAATAGCCAGTTAGAGGAAATAGCATTAGGGAAGACCTCTTTTACAGTATCAACAAAGATAAAATACTTAGTAATATATTTAATAAGAAGTGTGTGAAACTTGCGTAAGGAAGTATTTAAAACCCTCCTAAAAGATACGAAAATCAAGTTGAACCAAGTGGAAAGACATCCTTGTTTTTAGATGGCACGACTCAACATCATAAATCATAAATTTGTAATTCAACACAATGTAAATAAAAACATATACAACCCATTTTAATGGAGTTAGACAAGTGAATGCTGGATTTATATATAAAAATAAACATGCGAAACACCCAGGAAAACACTGAAAAGGAAACATCTTAGGAGAAACTAGATAAATCAGATATTAAAATACACTCTAAATCCTCTACAAGTGAAATAGTGTGCTACTGACTCGTGAAGACATAGAGCAAAGGATTAGAATAAATAACACATATGGATACAATAAATATGTATCTTCAGTTCATGATAAAGATTGCATCTGAAATCACCCGGGCAAAGATGGGCTTTTGAATAATGGTGCTGGAACAACAATATTTGGAAAACAATAAAAAATTAAGAGTCATACTTTACCCCATATACAAGAGTAAACACCAGTGGATCAAAAAGCACCCAAAGAGAGAAAATGAAACCATTCAAGTACTTGAGGAAGACGTGGCAAATTCCTCTTTAACCAGAGGGGGTAGGAAAAGGCTTTCTAACTATGATTCAAAAGTCAGATCCTGTAAAAGGAAAGGTTAATAGATCTAAACAGACAAAACACTTTTTAAAACTTACAATATGCTATAACCAACAATAAATAAAAGCCAAATGACAACGGGAACTGGGAGAAGATAGCTGCCACGTGTAACGCAGATTAAGGACTAACATCCCACATATATAAAGAACTGTTAAAAACTGAGGGGAGCACAATAGAAAAATGGGCAAGAGATAGGAACACATAATTGACAGAACAAGATACAAAAGTGGTCGTTACACTTAGGAAAAGATGTTCTAAATCACTCACAATAAAAGAAAATGCTAATTAAAACCACACTGAAATACGATTTCCCACAAAAAGTAAAAATAACAAAAAAACAAAACAACACACCACACTACACTGGAACGGCTGTGGGGAAATAGGTGCTCTCCTACATTGTTGGTAGGAATGCAAACTGACACAACACTTCTGGAAGGGAATTTTGCAATGTCTAACAGAACTACATTTATGTATGCCTTTTGATCTAGCAATCCCTATTCTAAAAATTCACCCTGAAGCTATGCCTCCAACAATTCGAAAATACGCAGGCATAAGAATATATATTGCAGCATTATCTGTAACTGTAAAATATCAGAAGCCATTTACATGCCGGCACACCCAGGAGATTGGTTGGATAAGTTATGACACAGCCATGCAAAGGAGTACTAGGCAGTTGTAACAAAGAATGAGGAAGACTATGAACTGATGTTGAAGAACTTAGTATACACAGTATTGTGAAAAAAGCAAAGTGCAAATGTGTACTGATGCTATTCTTTTGTGTTTAAGGAAGAAGCGGAAATAATAGTATCTACCTGCACATTCACGCCAAAACTTATAGGAAGGATAAATCTGGGATTAATGAAAAGGTAAGTAGGAATGAGGTGGAAAGGAAGGGAGGATGGCGCCTCTTCTTTGGGCATCATTTTGTGTACAGTTCTGACTAATGAACCGTGTTAATATTTCATGAACTTGGAAAAAAAGCAAAAAGAAAATCAACAAGGATGGGGGGGGGGGGCGCGGCCAAAACGGAATACAAATACAAACACAGAAGCTAATGAGCCGAACTGAGTAGCAAATAACATCGCACTGAAGGGGGGCAGGGAAGAAAAGGGGGGGGGGGGGGGGCGCGGCCTAAAACGGAATACAAATACAAACACAGAAGCTAATGAGCCGAACTGAGTAGCAAATAACATCGCACTGAAGGGGGGCAGGGAAGAGAACTAACCTCAGGAAATACTGGAAAAAGCATTTAGCCTCTACGGCATCAGGCTAAAGACAGAAGAACTCGAAACAACTACTGAATGAACGCTAGTTAGCAGGCTTCTTGTTCACAGAAATACGGTCTAGTAATTCTGAAAGCACTTCCTATATATCCTAGGATTAACAAATAAGAAAATATATTATGGAAAATAGGAGCCAGGTTTCTCGTAGTCGACAAAATGGAGTTCTTAATATTGGAAGGGGAAAGAAAAGAATGAACCCTGTGGTATTGAAATAAAATTGGAAGTATCACCATAAAGGCACTGGTTTTCCTTGGTCGGGAGGCAGGTAGATAGACGTCCATGTATGTATATATAATAAACATAGATGTGTGTGGAACACATGTAGGTATATATGTCATACATACATACATACATACATATCATATCTACACAGGCACGTGCATGCCCTTCCTAGCCCCATCCACTGAGAGGTCTGGAAGCAATGACCCCCCAGCAGCAATGAGCACACCTAGTACCCAAATCTTGGTTTCTAAATGCCCTTCTCCAGTAAAAAACCACCAAGGCTCCTTAGAGAAACGATCAGTTCCAGGACTTAAATAGGGAAGTTGCAAATGGGTTAGGAACATCCTCTGGTGCCAGAAAGTAAGGAAGAGCTCAAAGAAGGATGGGGACAAGACAAAAGGAAGGGAGGACACAGCCTGCAGGGGCTCCCACCGGCCCCTGATCTGGGATAATGTGAGCAAAGTAAATAACGGTAGGACGGTAAGGAACTATGACGCACTGAATGAAAGAAGACTCCGCAAGTCCACACAGCTATAAATAAGCAGATATAGGTAAGAAGGTAAAGCTCTTCCTAACAGCAGAAGCCCGACCAGTAAATTCAGGAGGAACAATGGAATTGTTAAATCACCACTTAGCGACTGTCATGTGTGATAGTCTCAAAGCATCTTTCCACAAGATACTTTTTAATTACAAGAAGAAAACCAGGAATTCTTTGCACTGTTTTTGCAATTTTTCTGTAAATCTCAAATCATGTCAAAATGAAAGGTTAAGAAAAACTTTTAATTTTATGGAAACGTCAACTTCCCTTAGATCTCGATAACATCAGAGAGGAAAGCTATTTCTGAGCACTGCTTTGCCTCATCTCACGTGACCGATGGCAGACAGGTGGCTCGCCTCCCCTGGCTGGCGGCGGTGGCACCTGGGCAGGGAGCCCAGGCCCGGCTCTGGGGCTGTGCGCAGGCGACTTGAGATGGTTCCCACAGACCGAGCGCCTCACCTCCCACAGCCACACGCTGACCGGGACGGGTGCCTGTCTCGTGGTGCCACTTCCTGGCAATCGATACTTAAACTTCTGTGCTTTGAGTGTGATTTGATCAACCAGCCAGAGAACTCTCTGTCTCTCCGGCTTATTTCGTTTTCTCCTCCTTATCTGGTCTTTCCAGACTCCTTATAAGATGATCTGAAACCCTGCCATGTGCATACCTTGCACATGTGTAAACTCATCGTGCTCTGAGTACAGAACGATGACAGCATCTAATGTTTACTTGAGCATTTTTCATTTCACTGAATTCTTACAATAATACTGGTAAGAGACTCCTTCATCTCTCTACCTGGCAAAAAGTTTTGCCCGCAAACGTCAGAAATGCATCCGTTAATTAACACAGTGCCAACTGCAACAGGGGGGAATGACAGAAACCACGAGGCCTGATGCTTCTATTTTCGAGGGTAGGGTAAATTTTCTTAAGCTGTTCTGACAGCTCCCCAAAGCCCCTCTTTAACCCTAGAATTTATTAATATGGTACTTGAGTTCCTCGCCTCAAAAAGCTTAAAGTACATTTAAAAAGTTTAAAGTACATTTAACTTTTATGTTATCAATAACTATTTTTGTCCTTGTTCTGTGACTGTTATTTGTCCTCCTCAGCAGGATGACTACTGATGCTTCCAACGAAGCTGCCTCGTCAAGAGTGTGCCTGGCCCCTAGTATCCAGCTTCCATCTACAATCAGAACAACTCACGGTGGTTTTTCATGCAGTTTTCTTAAAAGTTATGCAATTCAAATTCACTAGACAAAAGTCAGAAATGAAAACGGAGCAACAAAATCATAGCTCACTGCATTTCAGAACATGAATGATGTCACGATTTCCTAGAGCCTCTGCCTGAGAGCAGAGTTCTCATCTCGGGTGCCAAGCATCCCAATGAAATATGAAGGCAGGGAGCCCTGCAGAGCAAAATTCATTCTCAGAGTCAGGCAGGTATTATAATACTTTCCTCACTTTTCTGTTATTGTATGAGCTTTTGTCCCCTCTAAAAAGAACTTCTTGGTTATACGCAAAAGCTAGTCAGCCTGTACACCAATTACACATTTTGCAGAAAAATAAAGCTCATAAACTATCAAAGATAGAAAAGTTAGTAGGCAATGGCCTAAATGGCACTGAATTAAACCACACCAAAATTTCCCCGTTGCCAATTAAAAAAAAAAAATTTTCCTGATTACCTTTTAAAATTTGGTACATTGAAAATCTATTCCTCCATGGAAAAAAAAAGAAATCACAATATGTACTTACAAGTTTTTGTATTTCACGTAGAACTCCTCAACTTCTACCTCTTCTCCAGATTCCTTCTGCAACAGAGGAAAATTTCAGGCATGCACTTGAAACCATCTACTAGAATGTTCCACAGTAATGATTTACTCCCGTGTGGGCACAAACAGGCATTGCGGAAGCGGCACAGGGTGCTCCTGGAAGGATGAGCACATGGTGAGCTGCTGGGAGGCCAGAGGGATGAGGGCGGACCATGCGCGCTACCCGATGGGCTCCGGCTTCTCAGACGTGCATGGCTTTAGCTCGTCCCTAACCACATGCAGCTTCATTCACAACAGCCTGACCCCAAATGTGGCTTTCTGCCAAACCCACAGTGCTAAGGAGACGCCAAGTGTACCATTTTCTCAGGCAACAGCCAATTAGCCACTGCTCTCCTGAATGCCATATGGATTATTTTTGGCCGCCTCGTGGCAACTTTACATGGTGGGTTTTGTAATGTTTTAAAATATTTAAAAGACATTTATTCCTCCATATAGTTAATAACGCTAAACAAGAAACCATATAAAACTAAACCTTGTTCCGAGGCTGTAATTTCAGTGCATCACTATTCACAGTTTCAGTTTGACTCAACGGTACAATTAAAATCTCTCAGACAAGATGTCACATACGCATAGCCGCCAAATAAAATTAACCCTCCAAATACTACACCGAGGTGAGGTTAAAATCGTGACCCATCAGCCAAGTCAAGGGTGCAGTGGCGAGATTATCTCGAATATCTCCCCTGATCCTGCCTATTGTAATGTCTGCAGAAGATACTGCACATATAATATTTTAAGCATCTCTTTCAATACTTTTTTCCTCTTGGTTGTAGGCTGTTAAACAAGTTGTAATATGTAATTTTCTTCTGGAACATTTGATCAGATAAATCAGGGATGTAAAAAATAAACACCACTTACAGATGTCTAGAGATTGCTTTTACACTCTTACAAGAGTACCTGCCTTGAGGGTCACATTTGACTGCTAAACTGCCTCAGAGGTGCCGCAAAGAAAATTAAGGCAAGTCAGAACACAGCACAGGGCAAACAAAGGAGCAGAGACTTCTTACTGGGTGACAGGACTGGCACCAGATCTGTTCAAAGAGGCTAGGATCAGCCTCAACCCCCAATCTTCGAACTACTGTCAAAGACTATGAACTTAAAACTTTTCTTCAAAACTCTCACACATATCAGTTAAACCTAAATTTTAAGCAGTTTTTCCATCTGCCTAGAGATCACCAGTAAGAAGACAGGATATTCAGGAGTGGGGTCGAAACCCATTAATATCTGATCCTGCCCTAATGGACCTATAAATGGTCATCACCCTAAAGCAGCTTCTTAAATCAACGTGTTCAGAAAACCATCTGCATCCCCAGATTTTCTTTTTTTTTAATTATTTTTTATTGGAGCATAGTTGATTTACAGTGTTGTGGCATGTACCAGACTTTCAGGTGTCCAAAATGAAAAGAAATGCTTGCTGGGTGCCCTCAAGAGCCAGGGATATAAACCTGCAATTACTGTATAGGTAAATTCTGGTCGATTCAAGTAACAATCCATCCCGAACTCGCCTTACATTTTTCTAGCCCTTAACATTACCCCGATCCACTCCCACGTTTCAGCAACCATTTCAAGACACATTATCTTTGCACAGGACTGGAGATCACAGTAGAAAGGCAAAGATAAGACTGTGGTCAGCCAAGGAGAATGGGGAACCAGGATGAGCCTAGATCTTGTGATGCTTCTCATAGCACATCATGAAATTCAAACCTCGAGTGGAATTCAAACGTCTGGTCTACTGCTTTTACTTTTTTGATGTTAACTATATTTCTTTCAGTTCTGAGTTTTTGAAAATTACTTACCTTTGAGGTAGTAAAAAGACACGCTTTATCCTTTCTATGTTCTGTTATCTCCTGATTTCCTTCTTCCAGATCTTTCCTCCCGTACTGTCCCCTTTCCATCTCGTTCCAAGTGGCCTCACTGTCTGTAACTTCTAAGTGGGCCTCAAAGCACACAGATCAACTCTTGAACAAAGGGGCAGTTTTCATTCTGTCTCGATTCTGCTCCAGAAAGTTCCGACTCTTAACGCCATCAGCTGTCTGTCCCTGACTCCCGTGAACACCCATTTTCTCATCACGACCAGCTATGCCTCTGGGGGTGCTGTGGAGATCTCAACAAGAGAGTCTCAGGCTGTTTGGGAGGAGGGGATCAGGTTCTGAGACCTCATTTAGTAGCACCTGGAGCTCGTAGAGAATTGTCCCAGGACCTATTTCTCCTGGATGTCCCAAATTAGAACCCTGTGCTTTGTTTAACTGACCACACATACTGGATCGGCTTCTTGCTCCCAGATCTGTAAGGAGAGAGCTGTAATAGAGCTGTTTTGCCCTTCATGTCATGTAAATATTATCACGCTGGCCTCTTCTGCTTTACTTAGGGCAAAACAACTAACAAAAGTGTGTGCATTCATAAGCTCTCAGGAGCATCATTTTAATTATGCACTAAAGGGCAGTCGGTTTGACCAGACTCTCTGGACAGCTGAAAACAGCCCCAGCCTCTACCTCCCATGCCCCAGTGCTCAGAAGCCTTTCCATAATGGGCGTATCCAATGCATAACTGAGTCAAGGCACTATTTCTGCAGGTGCGTGTGTGCACGCGTGCACGCGCGCACACACACCACTCAAATTTATTACTAGGACAGTTACCGTTCAATTTGAGAGTCCTCTAAAGTAATTTTATGTGCTCGATAGACTAGTTTTGAGAAATGTGTGTATCTTTTCATTCATTAGACTCCTAAAGCAGTCTGCCAAAATCCTTACTATTCACATGAAATTGGAAGTTCCAAACATACTGAGCCATACTTGTTCCACTGTTCACATGAAACAGAAACCTTGACCAGGCACTAAATCAACTCTTCTGGTCACCTGGATTCTAAAACAGCCGTTCAGCAAATGATAATCCTGTTGGCCTGAAAGAATGAATGACCTTTCCCAAGCATCCTATTACTAAATTAAGCAGTCACACTGGGGAAACAAAGCTAAACTGTAGTGTGAAAAGGCAGAAATTTTGTTAAATAATGCACAAAAGAATGAGAAAGCTCCTTGATAAAGGTAACAATAAAGCAAAGGTATGAATCCATTCCTACTTCTGGCCCAACCTGCTGTATATTCTACCAGAGATGCCAAATCATAGTTCATTTAGGAAGAAAATAGGACATAATAATACAGAAGCCACTTTCAAAACTATTTTTGACCTTCTGGTACAAAAAGGATTTGAACTGTTTTCCCCCAAAGACAGATGGCTCAAAGCAGAAGGAGCTACATGATGACCAAATGTGGAAAAGAAGAAAATTAACCTTTATACAATCCAAAAGTCCATTCTTAAATCTACCTCGAAATTCAAATACAAGTACCACCTATGTCCCTTGCACTGGGTCTCACGCACATTACTTTGGGTTCAGAACAACATAAGTGCCTGAGCTATCCCTATATAACACGAGGTGCGGAGTTAGGGAGGTTCTGCCGGATGAGTTCTGTGAGTTTGCATGACTCCACCATAATGGCTGATACTTCTCAGGCTACAGTGATGAGGTCAGCTGATTGCAAAACCCGTTAACTATCCCCACTATGTGTGGGCACCATGCTGGGGAGGCTCTGAGCCCTTAACCAGTTTCCACAGTGCTGCCAGGGGGGGAGACAAAGGCACCTTCTCACAGCCATGTCTTCCATTATTCATGGTAATAGGAAACAGACCAGAAGGCATAGCTAGAATCCAGGGGAAAATCTCAAATTTCCTTTTGCTTCTATCTGCTACACTTTCCTCCAATATTACTGAAGCTGATAACTAAAGTAACTATTTGGAGAACATTAGCAGTTCAAAAAGTTAGTACCTGCTAATGTTTACAACCTTCTAATGTTTTCTTATGGCCCTTTATGAAATGCCACTCATCTACAAGCAATTCAATGGGCTCCATATCTCTTTCTTATTTTAAATCATACCTCAAGGCATATCTCTCCTTCCAGAGGAAATTTCCCATTAATTTTCTCCATCCTAAAATTCACCTACTCAACAAATACTCTACCCTCAAGTACAATTACAGCGATTTTTAATCTCCTGTGTTAAGATAAGCCTGGTCATCTGTAAATGGCAGCAATACCTACTCCTCAACTGTGGGTACCTATCTTTAAAGGACTGGAAAGAAAAAACAAAAAATGCCCTCCAGTGGGCAAAACAGAAAGAAAAAGTGATGCCCTACATCATGCATAGTCTAAGCAGCTCTGAAAAATAGAGCTAATTATAATTTGCAACCCCCAAACCTGCTGGGTATGCCTGCTGAAGCACTATCGGTTGAATGAAAATTATTATATCCCATCCAAACCACGTGCTATTTATTCAAACAAGCCACTTCAATTCGCTGAAGGGGATTATTCTTTAAAGTACATCAAGCATTCAAATTTTGCCATATATCTACAATTCACAAGTTAACAGTTCTAGAGTCATTAGAAGGACAAAAATGCAACCTTTCCAATTAGTTAAATAGTGCTCATTTCTGCTTGAACGGGTGGGAAATTTGGTTGAGATTTTATGTTCATCAGAGAGGAAATCCTCATGTTCAAAGAGCTACCAGATAGACACCCCATACACTCCCACTACCTACACTCATTATGAAAATATCTTGACATGTTGTTCTTGATTATTTTTGTTTGAACCAGAGTTTTATCTTCTGATAAAAATCTATACTTTGAATTAACACAATACAAAAGCAGAGCGTATTGGAGCAAAGGTAAAGAGACGTTTACGGCTGGTGCAATACCATTTTCAAGGATATCTAGATAGTATCTGAGTAGTAAACGTTTCCTGTTTGATAAACCCAGAAGCTCACTTTAAATCTCATAATTCCTACATTCCTCATCTCTCTCCCTGGAAATTACACTTTGTATACACTTTACATCTTTAAAAATAAAGGCTTATTTTACATGTCAAAACAATGAGGTTGTCTTCCACACACCCTGAAAGCAATAAAAAGTAACAACTCTGCCTCTGACCATGATTCAAGCTAGAAGACAGACACCTATGTCTAAAGGAGACCATTTTCTAGAGACACCAAACACGGTTTGCTGGAATATGTAAAGGCATCTGGATGCCCATGTGCTTCTACAAAGTAAAGTGTTTTCTCAAACTGGGCAAGAAGGGAAATGGGTGGATGAAATGGGGAGTCTCCATCAGTAAAAGAAGATGCAGTGTTCCTGGAATTTGTTGCCGCAGAGTGTATGTGGCCCCTCAGTGACATGGGCACCAGGCTAGTGACAGGTACTTAGGGCTTACCTTCGTGGATCAACATGAATGCCGAATAATTTGGAAGAGGGTAAGTCACATTACCTTCAAAAATTACACTGAAAACAGCTCTGCACTTCACTTCTGCACTATCAAAAGAATACTAATATTTCAACTGCATACGAAAACTATGAGAAAACACCTACTTGCTAACATGATAAAGAGATCTTCCGGGGGGGGGGG